ATAGGTTGGAATCTTCTATATAGTAGAAATTACATTTTGACAATTTCAATTAATGAGAAATAATAATTTGAATTAGAATTTTATATTTTAATATTCAAAACAATTTTATACAATAAGATTTAGCAATTGTAATTTTCTAAATCAAAACTAAATCCAAAAACTTAAATAAAAAATACTTTTTAGCAATTCAGATTGCTGAGTCTACATATATACAGAGTGAGTGTTACCTATTTTAAAGGAGACTTGACAAAATTATATAGTGAATATAATTCGGCTAAGTTTTTAAATAATAACTTGTGCACACTTTTGACTCAAAGTCCCCCGGTGCATGAAGTTTGGCTAAGTTTTTAAATAATAACTTGTACACACTTTTAACTCAAAGTCCCCCGGTGCATGAAGTTTGGCTAAGTTTTTAAATAATAACTTGTGCACACTTTTGACTCAAAGTCCCCCCCCGTGAGTGAATTTGGCTAAGTTTTTAAATAATAACTTGTACACACTTTTAACTCAAAGTCCCCCGTTGCATGAAGTTTGGCTAAGTTTTTAAATAATAACTTGTGCACAATTTTGACTCACTTAAAAATAGTAATAACAAAATAAGTTATTTTTTTGGATAGAGAAGCAGCACACAGTTGACATGTAACTAAAAAACAAAGTTAGCATCTTCTATATGATGGAAATTACATTTTAGACAATTTCAATTAATGGGAAATAATAATTTAAATCAGAATTTTAAATTTTAATATTCAAAACAATTTCATACAATAAAATTTGGCAATTGCAATTTTTTAAATCAAAACTAAATCCAAAATCTTAAGTAAAAATACTTTTTAGCAATTCAGAATGCTGAGTCTACATATATACAGAGTGAGTGTTAGTTATAGAGAAGACTATGTTACCTATGTTAAAAGGAACTCGACAAAATTATATAGTGAGTATAATTCGGCTAAGTTTTTAAATAATAACTTGTGCAAACTTTTGACTCAAAGTCATGAGTGAATTTGGCTAAGTTTTTTAAAATAGACTTATATACATTTTAAGTTCCTTAGTGACTGTTCAAAATACTCTAAGTGTTTAAAAATAGACTTATATACATTTTTTACAAGTTCCTTAGTGACTCAATTCGGCTAAGTTTTGAAAAATGGACTCGGGAAATCAGCTACACTCCTAAGTTAAAAGAAATACAGAGTAGGCCTATGAGTACAAGCATCAATTACGTCACCAATTGATCCCATGACCCGACACGCGACAACATATTACAATAGTCTAGCTTAGATGTCAAAGACTTACCAAAACAAGAAGATCCAGGTGGAAGAGTTAGTGATGATTCCGTAGAATGCCCCCCTTATATACCACAAAATTGTCTAAATTAATTTAGAACTTAACAATGGAAATTGAACAAACTGAAATTGAACAATTGAATAATTGAGGTCAATCAATCAAACATATTTGGTAATTGTCTAAACCTGCCCCAGACAGACTGGCGCCAGACAGGCAGAGAATGTTGACAATTGGTTTTGATTGGGGTCATTAGGTTACACTCACAGTCATTCATTTGAGTCAGGCATAGTTTACACATAGCCATAAGCGTGCCCGAGTTCGCGCACAAACCTCACATGATTTTGAAAATATACATGGGAATGGATGTGGATTTGAAATTTTAATGGAGTTTGAACATTTATATAGGCTTGTATTGGACGAGATCCAGGTCTTTAAAAAAGTGGCCAAAAAAAGCTCACCATTTCCAGACGTGATTTTTAGTATTAACAAAAGTATAAAATTTATATAGGGGTGTATAGGTCGAAGAGCTGGGTCTTTAAAAAAAGTGGCCAAAAAAAGCTCTTCCATTTTTTTCTCATTTTTCCCCTATAAAAAGTGCCCTAAAAGTGCCTCTAAAACGCCGAAAGTGGGGTCATATTCTGGTATTATATCTACTGAGCAAGAAACAGAAAAATTCCTCAGCAAGGATAGGGCCAGGACAGGAATATATCTTGGGGATATATGCCAACTGGGCTGCTAAGTTACTAACATAGGCTAGGATAATTTTACTGTAATAACTTACAACATAGAGAATTCTATTGGTCGTCCCCTTCGCCTCTTCTCTCACCCCTCACCATCACGTTCTATAACGCTCACGCTGTAGAGCCTGTGTGGTACAACTGCTAACAATAGCCGTTTGGGCTCTTTCTGGCTCGGTACTAGTATATTTCCGCCCCACCATTCCCGAGCTAAAAGCGCAGGGTTGTTCCCTAAGCATGTTTCCTCTGTATATCTTACTTCTCTGTGGTGAAGAAGCTGAAAAATATTATTTTTACTTATTTCACTTAGACAGGATGTAATATTATGTAGGCTGTACTGTAGGTGTACTGTACCTGAAACCGTACTTGAACACATCTCAGCATAACTTAGCATACTTATTGCGGGTACATTTCATTGTACTTACTTATGTATTTTGTTTGCATGCCAGAAGCCTTTTTGAATTTCATTATAGCATTGGAAAGGTTTAAGCTTCAAACCTAGTCTTGTTAAGTAGTAGGGTCACCAAACATAGCCTCACATTTCTTACTTACAGTAAGCCAGGGTTGCCACATGTCCCGATTCTGTCGTGACAGCCCTGATTTCAGTCCCTTGTGCCTGTGTTTATGCCTATTGCTTGTAGCTTCATCACAATCGTAAGTGATCGGTAAGTTAAATGGTCAAGTTTGATAAAGAGAGGTAGCGTTTGTGACTGGAGTCTAAACCTTCGCTAACTCATCACGATGTTGTCCCCTGGCACTGCGGAGTGGGGGAAGCACAGCATTCTATTGGCTGAGGGAACACCATTACCACAACGATACGGTAAGTAGCCATCGGCCTCGGTGGTCTAATGGATTACGTGCCGGGCTGACAATGTAAAGGTACCAGGTTCGAATCCTCTCGGTAGCACTAACATTTTGTCTAAGATTTTTGCATGATCAGCAAGTTTGGTTAGTTTGGTTAGGTTATGACAGTTTAATTTGTTAATTAAAACATTATAAAATTCAATTTGAGCTATTATAGTTTTAGTTTAGAACTATTTTTTTTCTATTAGTAAACCTTCGTTCGATTTTTTCATCATCAGCAAGTTTGTTTGGTTTGGTTAGGTTATGACAGTTTAATTTTATAGTTAATAAATTATAAAATTGAATTTAAGGCATTTATAATTTTATTTTATGAACAGAACTATTTTTTCGATTAGTAAACCTTCATTCGATTTTCATTTTAAATCTTTTTTATATAATCTGCAAGTTTGGTTGGTTAGGTTAGTTTATGACGGTTTAATTTCATAAATATTCATTTTTTAACTTATTGAAAAACTGCAGCATAGGTTTATGCATGTAAAACAACGCAGGCTTGTTTGGACGCCGTCTAGAGGGGAGGTGGAGGGAGAATCATTTCCCCCACTCCGCAGCGCCAGGGGACATCATCGCGATGAGACAGCGAAGGTTTAGACTCCAGTAGCGTTTGTGTGAGTGTGACGTTTAGTGAGTATTATCACAGACAATAGACCATATCCCATATCCCAACCATTAACTTAATGGTCTATTTTCTGTAGTATTATAGGACATTTGGGAATCCTGTTCTTCAAAGAATTCCTTTTAAGTTGTTAATATGATCTTGATGTGAGGTAGCCTACCTACTCTTTAAGTGATTTTATCCATTGTTTTTTACAATAAATGGTTGAAATTACCTGTATCTGTCAAGTGATCCTGTTTTGTAGTTACCTAGTTGACTACAGCTGTTTCGTGTTAATAACACATCTTCAGGTCAAAATGTTGCATCGATTATTCCATGGAATGGTCGTCATAAGGTTTAAAGTTCACAAAAAACACATACACGCACATGAAACATTTAACATTTATTGGTCAAATTACCTCAGTCATGACCTACCTTACACCGGCACCGTACGTGTCCGATGTTTATTATGCGTTTTTTGTATTTTGGCCAATAAATGTTAATTGTTTTGTTGTTTTGTTTAAAAGTTTGACTCACATCTTTGATAGTGTTTTAATAGTTTTTGTGGCCTTATTAGGCCTATTATAGAATCAACGGTATTATAGGCCTTTTACCCAAAAGGCCTCTGAAAAGGTGATCTGAAGCTGAAATTGCTGCTAACCAGAGGTTTCCAAGGTAGTGACGTCCAGTCATATTTTTAATTTGAAGACATAGGTACAGGTTACAGGCTTTAGGCCTAAAGTTGTGTGAAGCCCACAATTAATCTTCATAAATAAATCATACGGTATGCTGTCTGTCAGAGTAGTTGCCCCGCTTCCGCACTTTCTTACGTTGTTGAAGTGGAGTTTCTCTTAATACCTATTCCAAAGTTTTGAAACCTTGAAAGTATGGATTTATTTGCTGAAATAGGTTGGATAACTCTTGCATGAGATTCTGATAGCTATTTTCATTTTCTCTCATTGAGAAGCGTATATTACTTGCCTCTTCTGAATCATAAATAAACTTGACCGTAGCGACTGTTGGGTGTGATTCCTATTCAGTGATGAACTTGAACATTGAATACATACACAAAAGGTCCCTCTCTAGTATTTGGTCTAATATTATCACTAACACTTAAGTTACCTACCTTTGCAAAAGAGCTTCTTATTTTTGATTTAAAGTTTCTTGATTGTTGTTGACTTCCAGTCAATAAACTTGGGTAAGGTCAAGTGGGGCAAGTGTAGGCTACGCCCGGGGAAAGTGGACTTCAAGCTAATAATAAATTTGTTTATTAACCAAAGCTTTTTTGGCATCTAGGGATATCAAAATGAAATATTAAATCGGTCCAGTGTCTAGGTTCTTCCGTGCCACCTACAGGTATGTTTACTGTTGTCAGGTAATAGCTTATAGGGAAATTCAATAGGCCTAACAAAAGAGTTATTACTAAAGATTTATTATTATTATTATTATTGTTTTATCTTATATGACTGTTTATGTCTAGTTAAGTCTATCATCTATCATCAAGTTACCTAACAAAATTATTTTAGCAGGTAAAGTGACGGGTATAGAAGTTTACTTTGGTTTGCAAATAAAATGAGTATGCAGTCACCTGAAAACAAAGAAAATACACAATTTATTCCTCCGCCTACTCCACTGCTTAAGAAAATAGGATTTGGCACAGGTAAGATGATACACGTGATACGGTTTAGTCAAAGTCCTTTGATTCTCAAAAAGGCCAAACTCAAATTTCTAAGTTTGTATTTGCCTATGAGAAAATGGAAGATTAGTTTATGATTTACAGTCCTTAATACATGGCACAATGTAGTCTAAACAGTAATTTTTATGTTAAGTGGATAATCAGGATTGTTAATTAGATTCATTACTATTACTAGGAAGAAATGTGGTAGCACTTTCTGCAGTCTGATAGTTTTTTTCTTCAGTTAATGAAGTATGAATTGGCTAGCACTGAACCTGACGAAATACGCCTGCATGTTTCTGGTGTCATATTATAGGTGTACAAGTGTATCTTGGGTTTGTTAACACTGAAATATTACACTGACAAATTTAAGCGAAGGTTTTATATATTTCATATAGGCCTAGAATACTATAAAGACAAGCTGTTAGCTTTATACTTGAATTATAAAGATTGTGGGACAATTCAATGACTTATGAAACATAAAGGTACCCTAAAACATAAGAAGTACTAATAAATGAATTTCTGTTCCAGGCGTTTCTGTATATCACCTCGATCGTTCTCCTTGTAACCACACACTCCGATCTCCTTGGGCACTGAAAACCGTAAACCGCCAGCACACTGCATCTCACTTCCAGGAGCGGTTGGAAGCAGAAGCAAAAATCCTGCAAGAGCTGAATCACCCTAATATTGTCGGTTTTAGAGGTTTCACAAAGACTCAAGATGGAAGAAAGGTTAGACTGTTTTTAAACTAACTGTCCCTTGTCTTGAAATATTTGGTCTCAAGAAAATTGAGTTTTCTAATTAAGTGCTTAAAAACTTACACACATGAACTCAAATTAAATTTAGCCTATTGCACCTTTTTTGCACAAGGTTGATCACCATAATATCCTAATGATAATTTATTAATATTATATATCTGTTACTTCCAGTTTGTTAAAATTATTGTTTCTCCTTACAGGTACTTGCAATGGAGGAATGTAATGAATCTCTTGGTGATCTGATTGAAAGGTTGTCAGACAAAGGGGGAGTGAGATT